TTATGGCGAGCTCACCTGGAGGCAAAAGGAGCTCACCATGAAGGTCCTGTACTTGGCGATCCTCTATTTGAGGTTTTGGGATTGTTTTATCATTTGAAGTGGGTGCCCAAATCAAGATGTTTAGACGGTTAGACCACTGCCTGATTTGTTGCGAAATATACATACATACATACGTACATACAAACGCAACCCCTTGTTTGACAGTTGAACCACAGTATTTCTTTTGTCACATCTCGGTGGGTTTTTCGCTATCTCTCTTGCTTCGTTTTGTATCTCGAGCGAAGCGAGAACTCCGGTCGAGCGAGGTGAAGGACGGGGACTGCTTCCGCTGCAGGGCCGGCACCGCCTTCAGCTCTGAGGCCTCCAAGGCGCCGGTGGCGCGGGAAGCGCGAAGCCAGGAGACCGAAGTCGGGGAGGTCAAGGAAACCGAGCGTTGACAAGGGGGTTGGGACCTCAAGGATAATTTTTGGGGCAATTGGAGAGGAGACTCATTTTTTGTAAGCGTTGAAAAGGCCATTCTATGATTGGAAAAAAGGGGAAAGGGGTTTGGAACCCCGAGAAGCCACTACCAGAAGGACATCCTATTTTAATTCTGGAAGGGGGTTTGGGGCTTCAAGGAGAAACCAGGAAACCACGGAGGCACCGCATTTTATTTTGGCGGCAACGGGAAAAACGGAGACAGCCTTTCAGGGAAACCTAGTTGACTTGACGGTTGAAAGGGAGACTTGGGGAAGTGAGAGACTTGTCCATATCCTTTTGTCACGAAAGCTAGCTTTAGCTAGCTGAAGTTTCTCCTTGCGTAAGCAAGGTAAGGGGCTCAACTGCCGAAAGATTGATTTTTTCAATTGAGCCGAAACGATTGAAAAACATCAATTATTTAGACCCCCCCCCCCCCGTCTCAGGCTCGATTCCTCCTTGGTCCACCCCTCCCCGGGCAGTGGCTCAGTGTTTCAGCAGTCTCGGTTTGCCCGTTTTGGACTTGGTGCTACGAAATTTTACATGTTCCACCGATTCAGCTTGTTCATTTGAGACCTCAGTCTTCTCAGTAAACCACCTCGCAAGAATCTTTGCACACGCAGCATGCAGAACCCAGAGGTGCTTTAAGACAGCTTCTGATGCCTCTCGTTGTTTTCATTTTTCAAGGTTTGCCACGCCACCATGTGCGTTTGCGTGTCGCATCCTACGAATCTTGCCGGGCCTCTCGTTGTACACAAGCTACCTATGAATCCACTCTGTCACCGACCCATCTCATGCAACAACTGCTAGCTTTCGTTCACCCGCTCCTCAAGTTTTCTCACGGGAAAAGACATTCCGGAAGCAATCTCTTGTGGAGTAAAACGCAGTTTGTGGAGTCCAGCTCCATTTGGCGACAAAAAACACTTCATGTTGATACTGCACCCATGTTCCATGTCAAACCTTTGTTCCCAATTAAAGGTTCTCATTTGTTTTTTGGCCATCCAAGGTGGTATCCCCCTGTGGCGTCCCTGCAATGGGGTCCAATCCTTGTCTCAAGAATCTGACAAGGCCTCATTTTGAGGAAGCCCGCCCAAAAATGAGACTTGACGCCCGAAAATGAGAGAGACTTGAAGCCCCAAAATTTGACTTGAAGCGACTCGAAGCCCAAAAATGGGACTTGAAGCTCAAAAATAGGACTTGAAGCCCACTCAAAACTGGGCTTCAGCCCCATGGGGGGTCCCTTTGCACCGCCAGTTGGGCCTCGTGGTGATCTTCGTCTTCGCCGGCCTCGCCGTGGGCGCCTTCCTGCGGCGGAGCTCGGCCGTGCCGGGCAAGCGGGGCGAGCTCCGGTGGTCGGAGAGGCCCGGTGGGGGAGTCCGGTGGGGCCGGTGGGGCCGGTGGGGCCGGTGGCCGGTGGGGCCGGTGGCCGGTGGGGCCGGTGGCCGGTGGGGCCGGGGTGTGTTTCTATTGGTTTTCTTTTTGGTTGTCTGTTTCTTGGTCTTGAAGCTTGTTGTTTCTCTTAGGTCCTTTTTTTTGGTTTCTGATTCTTTGCCCTTAGAGGTTCCAGAGTTGTTTCCAGATCGTGCAGTGGAAGGACATAGTTCACTTTGCTCCACTTGCGATGAATGCAACCCTGTGAATACTGAGATAGCCCTTGCATCAACTGGTTCAGGTTTGTGTCCATCCACAGCACCCCTTCGAAAATGACTGTCTTCCGGAGGAGTTGGTCGTCTTACAGAGCAAATCAGGTCTGGAATCCTTTGGTTTGACAGAGACATTTTGTTGCTGTGTGTGTGTGTGGGTGCGTGCGTGTGTGCGTGCGTGCGTGCGTGCGTGCGTGCGAGCATGCGTGCGTGCGTGCGTGCGTGTATCTGTGTATCTGTGTGTCTGTGTGTCTGTCTGTGTGTCTGTCTGTGTGTCTGTCTGTGTGTCTGTCTGTGTGTCTGTCTGTGTGTCTGTCTGTGTGTCTGTCTGTGTGTCTGTCTGTGTGTCTGTCTGTGTGTCTGTCTGTGTGTCTGTCTGTGTGTCTGTCTGTGTGTCTGTC